TTAATATGTAGCTCTTGCCTGTGCTATTCCCATCTGGACTATCATACCCAGGAGCAGGTGTGAAAAAGCCCATATTTGCTCCCTTCCTCAGAAGAAAGAGGCAGGCCTATGAGTGAGTAAACCAAACAAGTGTCTCACTCATGAACTGCACTGCTGGACGGCCATAGCCCTCCCAGTGCACCTGCTAACTTGCATAAAAATTGTCACTGGTTAATTTTCCAATGAGGAATTTTCCAAGCAAAAATGCAATCTGAGCATCCTTGAAGCATCCTTCTTGCATAACTTGTATTGTGCAGTGTAGGAAGAATGAGGACATTCATTTAAAGCCCCTTTGGAAAAGCAACTTCTGTTCTTCTGAAGGTAATGGAAGGAACAAACTCTCACTGCCTCATGGAAAAAGTTCCCAGGCTGTGCTTCTTTATGAACTGGGCTCTGCTGCCCAGGGGTGTCCTAAGTTTGTGAATTTGACCTCAGCGTCTTTCTAACTTCACCATAGTATGGCAGTGTGATTACATAAAACATCCTGGAGTTCCCCAAGGCAACACAAATGACAAACCTACTCTAGTCTTCCCATTTGGAAGAGTGTGATTGCATCAGATGAAGCAATTAGATATTCTTACTAATTTCTAAAATTATGCCTGGAGACTGGATTTTTGTGACTACTCCCTCATTTACATGAAAATTCAGGATAACCAAAAGAAAATGAGGCTGTAAAACATGCTAACAGCTTAGTTCATCCCTAAGAGAGAAGCTTGTCCCTATGATTGGAAAAGAATAACCTGCCATAATTTGTCTTTCACACCCTTGTAATGGTTGGAAAACTAAGGCAACCAAGACAAAACTAAGGCATTTGTTAGTTTGAAAGGGTCGCCCCTCAATACAATCGAGAAAAAGCCTCTCTCTGATGGTACTTTTCAGATTCCTGCCCATGTTTTTCACAAGCTAACCTGGGATTATTACTTGTACACTTATATATTGAGGGACCAAGTAAATACATCTACTATCTTATTTTTACTGGGACTGACATCCAAACAGAACAGGAAATCTCTTTGTAAGCAAATTCCCATAACCAGTCCCCTTGCTGTTTAGTCTGCATTGGATTAAGCAGTGACTTGCTTGCTTCTTTGATTGGCAACTATAGTACTATAAAAACAAATGTACAGAGCAAATCTCACCAGAAAAGCCTCCCAATCTGCAGACTCTTTCAGCTTTATTTGGACTGAAACTTGATGATAGCTCCACTAGACAGGAAACACTCACCCCTCCTTTCTAATATGGCACTACCAGGAAGACGCATTTTCTCACAGACCAAGTAGCAAAGCTGAGAGCAGGGGAGAGGGCAGCAACACCAGAGACCTCCTATAGTACATGTCTCAAATTCAAACTGTTTTAAGACAGCAGAAGCTGACAACACTACTTATTTAACCTGCATTTAATTCTTTAATTGAGAAAAAACATGGTTTACACCATGCTTGAAACTGGGTGAGATACAGAGAAAGCAGAGCAAAAGCATCTAAGGCATTTTAAGCCCACCTCATGGTAGAAGCTGGAAGGAGCAGACACTTGAACAGCAAACCTTTTTTTGTTGTTGTTGTTTTGTGGGGGTTTTTTGTTTCAGTTTTTTTTTTTTGTTTGTTTGTTTTGGGTTTTTTTTGTTTTCTTACTGGATATAACACACTGCTGGTTAATAATGCTCTGCAATTCTGTAAAACCAGGAAGCCCCTGGTGATATAGAACCAGGTGGTTAGGACTCTGTCTTTGGTGCTGTAAGAATTCACAGATATGCAGAAGGGCTCACTATGTACAGCTCAGTATGTACAGTACTCAACATTGACAGAAAAGATAAACATACACGTGATAGAAAAGGAGTTGGGGGCATTATCCTGCTGTTCTCTAGTGTATCTACCAAGTCATGATATTTATATGAAGTGACCACATATTGAAAAGTCAAAGAAATCAAATATTCATTTTTGAGAGCAAATAAGAGATGCCACATAGCTGGACTAGCACTGAACAAAGGAGCCACCGGCAGGTGTGAAGTGGTGCAAGTCTTGTTCTTCTTACAATTGCATCATGTGCATTTAACACTGCTCTCAAAGTCCAACCTCAACAGCCATCCCAGCCAACTGCCCCAGTTCCTTAGAATCCTACAATAGCCTGAGTTGGAAGGGGCCCATGAAGATCATTGAAATCCAGCTCCTGGCCCTGCAAGGACACCTCAAGTGTCACACTGTGTGCTGGAGAGCATTGTCCAAATGAGCTCTGTCAGGCTGGTGCTGTGTCCACTGCCCTGGGAAGCCTGTTCCAGTGCCCAGCCACCCTCTGGTCCAAACACAACCTCTGCTATGTATTGGGCTGTCTGTTGGAAAGTTGTGGATTCACCTCCTACTGCTACCAGTACAACCATGGTCAAAGAACACATCCAAGAACTGGAAAAAGTACAGGCAAGTATGGATATGTCTGTGTGTGTGTGCACAATTCATCCAAGTCCGGATGGCCACAGAAAAATTTCTTCTGCTGCTTCTTCACCAAAATAAAGGACGGATCAGTGACAGATTTGAAATGATGTAGCCGCCTACCTGTGCACAAGAACTTGAATCCAAAAGAGTCCTAGCACGTTGAGAAAGGCAAATTGCAGCTCCATACCTGAGCCATTTGCACTCCATCTGGCCCTGTTAAATGCCAGTGCCCAGCTACACCCAGGCTGAGGTCTCCTTCCTAAAAGCCCAACAGGAAGGGCACAAATAAAACTTCTGTGAGATTCTCTAGCTTTTTATAACTGAGGAAGTGGAGGTGGCCACTTACTGTGAAGCAGCGAGATACTAAATCCAGCAAACACCAGGAAAGCCATGAGCTTCCTGGTCCTTCTCCCTCCTAATGCCAACTATATTCTGACTTTTTATCTCACCTTCCTTCTGCTGACTCTCCTACCTGCTCCATGGAGCATTTGCTTTATTGCTGAACTCCAAGATCTCATTTGATAGGGTGAGAAGCAGGAAGGGGTAAACACCCTCATCCCATTCACCTGACTCATATTACTCTGGAGCACATTTCCACAGCTGCTTTCATATGATTCATGTGAAAGCAGTTAAAAAGACACTAGAAGAAGTATCTTGCTGGCAAAAAAGTAGCTGTCTGACATTGGTTTCCTCCTTCTTTTGGTGTAGGGTACCCATATTAGCCACTTCTTGAGAACATGAGCTCCTGTGCAAGATGATCAAGGCTGATTTTGCAGATCAGACCCTGAATTTCTTCTCTGAAAAAGAAAGAAAAAGGTTAGGCCTTTTAGTTAGTTTTCTGGGATGCCTGAAGAAAGCCTTTCCTGGAGCTGGCACCAGCTCATCCCCACCAGCAGGACTGCTCACAAGGCTTTCTCCCAGCCAGCTCTGGGGGTGGCTGGATCCCTTCACAGGATGACATAACTCACTAAACCTGCAGAAGGCTACACCTGCCAAGGGCGGGGGGGGAACCTTTCTGGCATTTTAGGAAGTTGGATTGCCTCAGCAGAGGCCAGCGATGCCAGAACTGCCACAAGAGAGGGCAGGGCTCGTGACCGTGGGGCGAGGGAGTAGGGCCGCCCCTTCTTGGCTGATTTGGCCATCAGAAGCACAGCCTGAGATTCCTGCCAAATTCCTGGATCACCAGGCTGGAGGCAGAAAGCTGCAGGGCTCCCAGGCCCTGTCTGCTGAAGCTGGCACTGTGCCTGGCACCCCAGGGTGTTAACTGGGACTGGGAAACAGAACGGCTGGCTGGACAGCAGGGCACAGGGACACTTGCCAGCTGGGGGCAGAGCTCCAGGGACATCCCTCGCACAGCCGAGAGAGGCAGGCCTGCACCCTGCAAAAGAACATCAGCCTCATCTGGGGAAACCTTCATGATGCCCTAGACAGATAAAAATCCTTGCCTTTAGCTTGGGGCACAGCAGAAAGGGGGAGTGTCCCCTCTCTGGCAGAGAAAGGACCTGATGTCAGGTGTCCTGTCACTGTGCAGAGCTTAGACTGAGGTTGAACTACTATTTCCAGCAGCTGCACTACTTTTGGGGTTGTGGGTTTTTTTTTTTTTTTTTTTTTTTTTTTTTTTGGGGGGTGGGGCTTTTTTGTGGTCAAGGGACTATTGGGGCTTCTCAAAGGATATTTGTCAGAACTCCCACTGGTGGATGCCATCAGGGGTTAAACACGAGCTGCATATCTACTTACTGAGCTACTTACAGGAAGGGAAGAGAAGGAAAAAAAAAAAAAAAAAAAAAAGGCAGAGATGGAGAGGAGGGCAGCAGAGAAAAAAAAAAAAAAAAAAAAAAAAAAGAAGAAAGAAAAACCAGAGGCAGTCCCAGGCATGCCCAGGAGCAGACCTTTGGGCACCTCAGAAATTTTACTGGCAGGAACATAGGCACTTGCAGACTTCAGACGCCTCTAGGGTTAGGCAGTAGCTGAACAGGGGTTTTGAGGATCTAAATATTGGCCACAAATGCCTACGAGGCAGTTACGCAGAGCTTACATGCCTAAACCTTTTTTGTGGCCCTAGCCCTAAACTAATATTATGGAAAATACCAGCAATTATTAGGGACTTCTTATCAGATTGGATACATATTTCCTTTGCATAACTTTACCATGGCCTCATTTATGTGGTGCTTGGAGAGGATGAATACCTGTTCTGCATGAGTAATTATGCCAAAGGCTCTTGTGAGGGAGGTAGTTTGTGACTGCTGAGCAAGGCCAGCTATGCTTACCCACACAGCTCCAGCACTCACAATTGGTCTTACCACTAAATCCCCCTTGTTGCTTCGTTTGCCTGATTGCAAACAGATCCCAGAATCTGCAGTTGCCCTGAGATGATTGATGCCAAGATGCTGCAGTGAAAAGGAAGTATTCTTTTAAGTGTTATCACGTCCACGAGCATAAGCAAAGCCACGTCACGTGACAGAAAGTAAATAGAGCATTTCTTAGAAAAGCCATTTATTTGCCTCCGTGATTTATTATTCAATGACATGTAGGCTATTTTTTCTTTGTTACTGGCACTCATGTTCATAATAACAAGGTACTTGACTTGAAGGTATTTGGCCAACCTTTCCAAAGTGCTATGTAAGCAGTAATCAGAGAGAGCTAGGTTCATGAGTCAACAAATTGCTCTCCCATGCTGATCAAACAGTCTTGGCATCTCTATAAAAAAAAATACAAAAGCAGATTTTGGGCTGGCTTACCCAGTTTTCTCTCTAAAATTATTTATTGTATTTGCATTTGGCAGAGTTCAGGCTTAAAATAACCAAAAGTGACAGTTGTTTTATTAATAAAATTTTACATGTGATTTTCATTTATGTTTAGAAGGATAAATGAGACAGCAAGTTAGCCTTCAAAGTTTTTGTTGCCATAAATTGGGTTTCATTTGCTCACCCTAAAGGCAAATGAATTCAAGGCAAAATTCTTTCATTTTGCACCATACCTCCACAGCCTGCAGGAGAAAGCAGTCTAATACTTGGGTCAAAGCTAGCCAGATTAGTAGAGCTGAGGTTTATTGTGAAAAGCTTATATTCCAGCCTACACCAGGTTATTACTACTAAAGCAAGTAACAATCAGATAGACTGCACAATCTGCAGGCTTTACCAGGAGGAGGAACTCAAATCTAAGTGGGATTTTGACTCGATTTCCATCATACATGCTCACAAACCCAGGTCTTGAATCCAAAACACATATTCCCATGCTCAATATTGCTACTTCGCTGTGTAAATGAATGTTAAAAAAAAAAAAAAAGAATCTTTAGTTGTGAATCATCTCCCTGCTTCTGTGTGCAAAGTGAGTAGAGCTGTGTGAATAATTGCATGTATTTTCACTGTGACTGCTGAATTCAAAATATTTTGGAAGCTTGCATTAAACAGATGCAACTTCCCTTTCTCCCCCTGCTCTTAAATTTTTCCATGAAATGAAAAGAGGAGAGCCTCATGTGCACTGAAAAACTCCTTCTGACCCCCAAAATGAAACACTTTGTTTTTTGGACACACGTAGTAAAAGCAAAGGAAATTAAAAGGCTAAATTTCATAAAGGAAGAAACAGTGTTCTCCCCATTCTGATTCAGTAACCAGTATGCAAGAGACAAATTCTTTGGTTCCCAAGGTCTTTGAAGCTGCCATGTCCATTCCCTGGAGATGCCACTTATCATCCCTCAGCTTGAGGGGGATCACCAGGCTGTGGCCTTCCCTGCAGCCAGTCTGCTGTGCACCTTTTTCTCTGTGCTGCCTGTTTTGTGGTGCCCCAGACACGGGGAATGAGGGAAAATGAGGTGAGGTGTCACTTCCTGAACCAGCTGCCTCAAAAGCAGCAGGTTGTCCTGCTGCAGACAAGATGCTCCCCCAAGGTACAGCTCTGCAGGTGGAAGCTCTTCCAAGCACCCTCCTTTTGACTCTGTTTTGGTCTGTCTGTGTAGTAAGCTGTTCCCCAAACCCAGAGGCTTCTTTATTCTCAGTGAAGGAGCCTTTTCTGCCAGGCTACACAGTTATGCTGCTTTTTAACCAAAGGGTTACTTCAGCATTTGGTTTCTACCGAAGGGCTGTTAAAATATTTTCACTCATTGCAGGACCACAAACATCTGTTAATTATGGGTCTGGGGTTTATTTATTTATTTATTTTAATAGCTAGGTCTTATTGACCTTCACTTAAGCGCTTTTGAATATTTTACTCCATATAAAGACTGCTGTGTTGAAAAGTGCTAACAATTATCATCATGGGAGTCTTGGATTCAAAGACACTTTGCAGACCTCATTAAGCCAAGGAGCTTGCCAAGTCCAGTCTTTTCAGCTCAGTGGAAGCAACACTAAAGTCCCTTCATGTAGCAAAGCAGCTGCTAGCAATGGAGCCTGCCTGGCATGGGCAGAGAGAGCTAAGCTCACCCAGGGAGACTCGTCAGTCCTGGCACCAGAAGACAAGGAGACACACTAGAAACAAAGCGAGCTGTGAGAAGAACCCATAGAGCTGATCAGTGAAGCAAAGTCAAGAACTCTGGGCTAGACAAAAACCTCCAGTTTTTTTCATGTCACAGGAAACATGACTTCTGTCTCGTCTCTGTGTAGTTACAGTGATAAATCTTGACCAATGCAGAACAAGACTGGCAAGGTTTTCCAAGCCCAGCTAGTGATGGGCTAGCACACTAGGAGGTCTGCATCATGCCATGGAGAATTCTTGTCTCGTAGGCTGGAGAAAAGCAGATATTTGAGAAGTTTCAAAAAAGTAAATAATCCAAATCAACTCTTCAAAGAGAGGTAAGATGCTTCAGGCACTCAACAGATCGAAAAGCCAGATTCCATATTTGCGTACTAAACATGGAGGTAGGAGAATGCCTCAGGTTAGGCAACAGTGTTTCTGTGCTTTTCAGCTCAGTGTGTGAAGGACTGACCACAGGCACTCAACTGCATCTGTCTGGGTGAGGCAGATCAATCTTACACTGTCACAGGAATATGCACAGGGCAAGAGCAGTCTAGAAGCTTTCAGTCTAAAAGAAGTGAGAAGCATAGTGGTATTCTATCAGGGAACTCAAAAACAAGAAGGAAATTAACAGACCCACAAAACAATTGAGGCTTCTGAATCCAGCACTATTTAGGCACTTTCCATCTGTGAGGGAAAGAAAAAGATGTGCAAACACTCGACAGGTATCCTGATTCCCAGGCCAGTGCTGTCCACAAAGTCCATCCTTCATTCTTTATGTCCTTCTCAGCTCAGGATGTTTTCAAATAAGTATTTTCTATGGACAAATCCTCTTTCCTCTCTACTTCCAGGGAAGTTACAGAGATGAACCCTCATATTTGCTCAGCACAACACCTCAGAATTTGTTTGCCCCAAGCAACTCTATATTAAAGATTAACTGTTATATTAGGGATTCTCCCTATATTTGTATTCAACCATACATCCTTGCAAGTACTTATCCAGTATAACACCCAGAAGCTGCCCAAACACAATTCCCAAGTGTGATGTAAGTGAATACCTCTCTGTGGCATGGCTGTTAACAAGTTTTATAGAAATAAGAAAATAATACAAGATTTGCCTTGGAACAAACCTGAATGATAAAATCTCTTAGTGAACATTTTTGAGACATTGTTTTTGCATTTAATTTACAGCTTCCTAGTGTTTATCTCTTCAGGTGGGATTTTACAAATTAACCATGACTAGGACACACCCCACTTCATAATTCCCTTATCTTATTTAAATAGGAGACAGATAGCAACTTCTATACATGCTCACACCTTGCTAATAGAAAACAGTGATATATTGAAAATTTCCTTATCACTTCCAGTTCCCACACAGGTGTTCTTGGTGATAAACTACTGAATGATATAAACAGTGATTTCAGGTAAAAAGTAACAATTAGTCAAAAGGAAAAGGAAAAAAAAAAAGAAAAAAACCCACAAATTAAACCACATTTCCTGAGAAGGATTTGGAGCTGAAAATACTAAAATACAAGACTATAAGTGTGATTTTTTTTCAGTGAGACACATAATCCCTTGGACTTGCTTTTAGTAAAGCTTGCTGTCACCTCTCATAACCCATAGGCAATTTCCCTTATCTTTTGAGATGATCTTGATGGGCAATTCACAGATATGATAAGGAAATGTATGTTATCCCCTTTGTAGTCAGGCAGTGCAGGTTTTTCTCCAGTGGGTGCTGTCACAGATAGGGTGTACAGCTATTCCTGACCAACAGTGGTAGGAGAGTTATTCTGGTAGTGGAATTACTAAAGAAAGCTCTCTCCATTTTAGTTCTTCTGAGATTGTTCTTTCAGATGTAATAGAGAGCATTTAAGTGTATTTAAACCAGCTAAACTGTGTTGCTGCTATTGTGCAATGAGCGTATTGAATACCTCATGTCCACAGAAAATTGTGGAAGTTTGTGTTCTACATTACCTTTGATTATTTTCTTTTCTGTATTCCAAAGAAAATCTTTATTTTATAGCCCTTACTAATTCCTTCCAAACAGACCACTAGAGGCCCAAAAAATAAAAGAAAATTCAAACTTGTTTTTGCAGAAGTGCATGGCCAAGCCTTCGGACCTGTGAAGGCCACAGCTTTCTGGACAGGGTCACTAGAGGCAAAACTGGAAACTTGATCATGTGATGATGCTTTCAAAAATCAACCCTCTCACAATTTTCCACCATCTGCATTAATTACCAATAATCCAATAATGGTATGAACTAAGATTAGTAATTCATAAGCTCTTTGATAAAATGTAAAAGAACAGAGTATCAGTTTAACAGGAGCAGGAATTCAAAGATACATTATATTTCCCAATAAGTATTCCAAGGTTGTGTCTCAGGCTTTTTCCAGAGCAACACTGACTGTGCTGTCTGTCAGGACAGGACTCTGGCTTTGCATTTATTATTCATGTGGTACCCAAGGGGCTCAATGGCTGCACTCACCCAGGCAGACATCACCATGACGGGACAAGAGTACCTCAGTCTAAAGAACAGTACTGCCATTCTCTTATCAATTCTTCTTAAAGTTTCTACCAACTTACGAGCAATAAAATTATTTTCAAAAAGTGGTAATTTTGTTTTAGGGGAAAAAGTAATGCTTTTTTTCAGTGGCTTTTAGATTATTTCTACAGAACCAACAGAGTCCTGTTGAATAGGGAAATTCATCTTAGATTTTTTATCAGACCTATCAAATTTCTCTGTTATTTCTGACTCACATGCTTTCTGTAGTGGTTTTATGCCTCAGTTATATTCTCAATATATTGGTGTCTATTGAACTTCTGAAACTTGGAGTTAGATACCTGGTTAATAAGTCTGAGTTGTTTTGGGTTTTTTGTTGGTTTTGTTTTTGTTTTTTTTTATTTTATTTTTTTTTTTATTTCATTCCCTTTCCCAAAGGCCACCCAACAGTTAAAAAAAGTAATCTTCAATGTTTTCCATAGGTCAGGTGTTGTCTGGGTAGGTTTCTTCGAGCATCTACAAGAGGTACCAAGTTAATGACAGAGGTTTCTAAGCCCAGAATGCGTGAATTACTAATGGAAGGGTCCAGTTTCTCAATAAGAAATGCAGGGTGCCACTACATAGGCACAGCATGCCAGCGCACAGCAGAACAGCATCCTTAGCATATCTACTTAGCAAATACTGCTTTCTCAAACCCTCGAGGCAGATGTGATTTAGACCAAAAGTGCCACTGGCAGAACACCTATTCCAAGGGCAATTATACAGAGTATCAAATATATTTGATTATTCGTAAGCATTCTTGATAAGCATCAGATATGTTTAACACTTCCTGAGAAATCTTTTCACAGGAGCAGGGCCCCATAGGTATAACTCATCATGCATTAAGCAAATTGGAATGAATCTCTTGAAGCATCTTTGCACTCTTGAGATCTGTTGCATTGTTTTCATTTGGAGTGGCCACAAGCAATCACAGAGGTATTTTTTATTCTTGTTGCAGTTCTTATAACACAAGTGTTGGCTGTGGATTATGGCTCACACTCCAGCAGCACCAGTATTGTCTCATGTCCCTGACTCCTCCTTACTCTGCTCAGTCAGGGTCCGGTTGGATGCCACCATCTGTCAGAGTCCACGAGGAGGCATGGGGTCTGAGAGTGGATTCTCATGAGAAAGACAGCAATGTGAACAGGAAATGTCCCATCAGGAATCCTTTCTTGGGACAGGCTCCTGTGGAAAAGAACAAACCCTTATTGTCACTATTGCAGCTTTAGCTTTATATTCTTGTGCTCATCCTTTGATTCATTCTCTCACCCCCCACTCTATTCCCATCCGATGGGTGGGAAACAGGATATTTTGTGAAATTCTTTCCTTCCTGTGGGTCTACATGACATCTTTAATTAGCAACTCTCTGCAATGGAAGTGAACAATTAGAAAGCACAACTATCCTGTTGATGAGATCATAATACAGTTGCTTTTTGAACAGGTATTAAGGCATCACTTTCTGTCATTTACTAAGATCATTGATGTTATTATTTAAAAACATCACACACCAAAAAAAGTCTCTAAACACTTCCCTACAGAACTAGTGATCAGGAAGAGCTTTACAAGCATTCTCTGTCTTTGTAACCCCTGAAAGTTTTTTTGGTTTTTTTTTTGTGATGCAAAGAGTGGTGAAAAGGAGACTCTGCCTTCTTCCATGGACAGAACTCCAGCCAGCTGGCATCTGCCATTTTACCTGAAATAAGTATGAATACTTGTTTATTTAATAACCTAAATGCAGGAGCCGATCAGGGTGATGTGTGCTTCTACAGAAAACCCCAGTGGCTGAAAAGATTTTTGTCAGGGTGGGATTTGACACTATGGAGGCACAGAAATCAGCAATGCCTTGGAAGACCAAATATAATCAAATGTGGCATGCTCAGAGAACCTAGAACTAATCCTTCCTTGTCTTGTCCTGTAGGCTGGTAGGTGTAAATGCTATTAAGCCTCATCTGGCAGGTCTGCCCTTAAATGCCAGCAGTCCAAGTGATAGCCCTCAGCTTCTGGATGTCCCATAGTGTTGGACTATCCCTCTCTTCCAGATCCACCAGGATTAAATTTTCTTTTCCCACTGCTGCTCCAAGGGACATTAAGATGATCCTGCTTTCTGATTTTACCTTGCTTCTTTTTATTAGTTTGAACCTCTGATGTTCTACCTGGCACCTGGGAGAACTCATGTACACCACTACAGAGCAACATACACTCATTTTGTGAAAACAAACAGTAACAACACAAGAAGCTAGATCAGAGAAAACCAGGGTCTCTGAGCCAGCATGACATTCCAAAATTTGGGGCTGTGAACTAAGAAAACTGCAGAACAAAGTACAGGGTTGTGCTTTTGCTAAAATATCTGTCATTTCCCAAAGGTGTTGGAAGGTTGGTGTGAAAACCCGTGTGGGATCTCACCAGGCTGTACGTCACATCTGAGAAGACACAGACAGGAATGAGAAGATTTTCAGGCTGAGCTTGTGAGCCAAATCTCCCAACTGCTATCTCACATTGTTGCAGCAACAGGTCTGTCTACAGCTGCTCCACAGCACAAAGCAGCTGCAGGCACTGCCTCCTCATTTTCATACAGATCTAATCATGAAACAAGAATGTGCTTGGTCATATTTGTGCTGGGACTGCATGTCCTCAGCAAAGTTTGCACACCCTGATAAATTGGCTTGCAGTTGAAAATAGAAACTACTACTGTAACAACAGAACATCAATGCACATTTCTCTGAGCAAAGATTGTCAGGGTGTGAATATTGCTAATGGCAATACTACACATTAATAGACATTTCTCTGAGCAAAGGTTGCCAGGTTGTGAATATTGCTAATGGCATTTAGGGTCTTTATCTCATCTTGTAAAGTGTTATCAATCAAACTACAGGTGTTAAGCAGGTGAAAGCTGTAGTTTGAGGCGATAGATAAGAACTTTTCCCTTGGATCTTAAGCATTGTTTCCTACTAGACCTTTCCTGAGAGAAAGTGTCAGGATATCAAAGGGGAAAAGAAATACATATTTTTAGGCCTTGGGGCATGAGAGGGAGGGGATTTTGTAGATAGTTTCAGGAGATGAATTATCAACCTCTCAGAATGACTTCAAATAGCAATCTCTTCCCCAATCACAACCAGATGTTTATTAAATTTACCAAAGAATTTGCCCCTTTTTTTTTCTTAAATAACAATATACCAATAATATTAAAGCTATGTCTTGTGAACTTGTGAAGTACATGTGGAAAGAGAGGCAAGCATATTTGAGCTGCATAGCTTACCATATACTATAGGCAGCCAAAATAAATGGGTGGCTACATTGCACTGGGGCTTGTTTGATATACTGGGATCTAATGCACATCACTTGGTTTGCTCCCAGCAAGTGTTGTGCATAGTTAATACACAGAAGGTAAGGAAATAAATTTCAAGGCTATAAATGAAAGCTACTATAAAATTCCACTATTACTGCCATGCTGTAAAGTACATATGTTATTGATTCCTCTGGCCTCTTTTACATGGGAGGTGACTTGGTGGCTCGGGGCCTCAGCCTTTTATCTGAATTCAGACCCTGCCCAAGGAATCTGTTGGCCTTACTTCGAGTCTCATTTTGGGTACAGAAATAGCTGCATTTATAGGAAGGAAAGGAAGATACCTATGCCTGGTTCTAGTTTGAATCACAAGTTTATAGTTTTGAGAGCTAAAAATCTGTAATTCAGAGCAACAGGTCTTTTTATGAAACAAACAAATTTTTTTTAACAACTTTATGCTTTCTTCCTACTCCAAAAAAGAAAGAGAATGACCAAAACGAAAGATATAACTAAGAGTTACAAGTCCTAAACAGCTTAAAACCATGAGAAAAAGTAAAAGCCCTTTGCTCTGTGCAGTTGATCAGAGGCTTCAACTCATTTTTGAGGCAGGCAAACCCTGTGACAGTCATTCTACAGTCTGGGAAGAGAGGCTGGAATGCACCCAGGGACCTTACTTGGGGCGGGCACTGGGGCGGGCACTGGAAAGCAGAGGCCAGAAACTTGGCCCCACATTTCCAGTTTTGAGTTCCAGCTGTCCAACCTGAACTCTAAACCATGGGAACTGCAAGCCAAAACCAATCATGAAAAGAGAAAAGAAAAAAAAAAAACCAACTCTGCTAGGAAAAAGACCTGCAAAATTCTGTGCATATAACCTGATATCGGATATCTGAGCTAGCTACCTTCTAACACAAACCACTGCAGAGGAAACAGCCAATCTCCTCACACACAGGTACGTTTTTAAATGAGCAGATTTTGTCTGGATTTCAGCCAAAACTTTTGCACACTATAGGTTCAGTTAAAACATTTTAAAGAATTATTTCATTTTGTAGTGATCACCCCCCAAGGCCACTCAATTTTCACAGTGATACAGTATTGCTTCTTCTGATGGTCTAAGTCTACTAAGCGAGGCAGTGCCCCTGGAAAGGTGAGAATTTTTTTGTGTCTAAACAGGCAGTAGGTCAAAACCCAAACACTGAATCTGAGCCCTTTGTATGCTGGAGAAAGTAGCCCTGGACCTGTGAACCCAAGCTGTGTCTGTGCTATGGTGTGGTCCAAATGTGGAGGAGCTCTTTCCAAAAGCCCAACTACAGCAGCAAGGGGTACATGCCAGTTAATTTACCCCATTTATTACCTGAATCTAACAGTAGTTGATCAGCCTCTGAACTGAAGAACTCAATCTCAGTTACCAAGATTGACTGATTGGAGTAACTAAAGCAATCTTATTTAATGTTTGCCTTAAATGATCTGGCAATCTGATTCAGATAAGATTTCAAACAGTCTCTGTGCTTTTGATCTCAAATTAGCTTCAGGATTAACTCAAGCTTGGTTCAGACACAGTAAAAAATTCTTTTAATTGTATCTTACACCGCAGCCATGCCCAAGCCGTCTTTCTGATTCCACCAGATTAATTAAAATCTCACCTCTACCCAGTTGTGATAGTGACAGTCTGAACTGTAGGACAGTGCTGGGAAGCTAAGGGGAGAAGTGAAACAGCACTTACAGAAACTCCTGTGGCTGAATAGTTGTTGCAAGAGGGAGAATCCTTGCTGCCTCTTTCTTTTAAATGGTGTGATTTCTTGTCTCTCTGGTACTCAAAGAAAAGTCTCTGTGAGCAATAAGATCAAGAGACAACATGACCAAATGACATTAAATTAGTTTATACAAGACAGCAGTGAAACCCCAATTCTACCAGTGAAAGCTCAAAGTGAGCCTGAGCCTTTAAGGAGCTCTCCTTCTGCCTTCTGTTCACTTCACAGCATGCTTCAGACAGAAATGCTTCTAACATTTTGAAGGCATACTACACAAGGGGTTTGATTTCTTTTAACATAAAAAGACCTATTTTGTTATAAGTATTTGCTTTTAACAGCTCTGTTCCTTTCATGCATTCCTTTCCCAGGTACAGTACAGGTGCTTCAGGGCAACTCTAGGACAATTTTCAACAGTGGCTTGGGAGCCTAACTATGAGTTTGCTAAACAAGAGAGCTAAGCAGACAGAGAGATACCTGTTAAAGTCAAGTTAATGCTGAACTAACCTCATATAATAAACTCTCCCAGGCAGCCTATTTACAATTTGAGGGGAAACTATACCTTTGAAAATTGTTTTCTAAAGGTATTCTGGCTCACATCTCTCTGTTCATGGTGTTCATGGTTAGACTTTGTGGTATTAATTCCTTTTTTTTTTTTTTTTTTTTTTTTTAAAGATAGGGAGGTATCCTGGCTCAGGTTTCTAGAAGTACATAGGTGTGAATAGCTGCAGACGTGTGCACTGGTACCTCAGGCTTTCTGAAATCCCTACCCATGACTTGCAGCTCTCTATTTATCATTTACCCTTTGCTACTGTTGAAAGGGACAACAAACACTTTGAAAAAGCTGCTCCTAAGTAGAAAGATTACTTCAGAAGGTGAGTTTGAGGTTTCTAATTCCCTTAGAAATGCTCCACATTTTTCACCTCAGGTCTACAGAAGTGTTTGTGTATCACCTAAAACCACAAAGCCTGATTTTGATTAGGCTGTGGGTACCACTGCTAGGTTATTGTTTTAAGATAGCATCATGGAAAAACTTCAGTTATAACTTAATTAATTCAAACACTATCGTTACTTTTGAATGGAAGCATTTTATCCAAGCAAAGGATCACCTCTGAATGACTGTATTTGTACTGCAGAACCACCAGGGCTCTAGGGTTCAGCTAAGGTCTGCATTCAAAGTTATTGCATTAACACTTATGTTATACTGCTGCCTACAGGTCCATATTTAAAATTAGGGTGTTATGCTAACTTATGTTTAAACAAGGCTCCTGTACCAAAGCTTAGGAAACAAGTAAGATAAGAAAGGTATGGGAGAAGCTGAGCCCATTTTACTTTCCATGGTTATATTTGTGTATGTAATTGAGTGCATTTCTTCCACTGCCCTGAAGCCACCACAGAGGGACTGGTTTTGTAGCAGAGCTACATTTGGGAGTGCAGTTCAAGAGGAAGAAGGGGATTATGGTAGTGCCTGCATTAGAGGAGCTGTGGAGGAAAGCACAGGGATACCTGGAATGGCAGCCCTCCACATGACAGACAGGTAGGTATCTGATGATCTCTCCTGTGGTGTTTGTTGCAATCTGTGATTTCCCCTTGTGGAAACTGCACATTTTTTAAAGCAAATGTATATGTATTTTGAGGTTGGACACAGCATATAAGGACTGTCTTTTCCTAATTTGTGGTTTAAAGATCCCTTACAAGCAGCCTATAAATCTCAAGAGCTTGTCATGTTGCATCTCACTAATATATTGAAAAAAGGAATGACATATGCCACAGATTTCACCAGAATAGAAACACCATTCTTGCAGAGGCTAGAGTGGGGAAGGGTAGTTTTCCTTTCCAAGTCATGTGCATAGTTCTTTGGGTAACTAATTTAAATTGTTACACACATATTTTGAATTTAAAAATATTTTCTGAATTCAGGAAGAAGAAATTTCAACTTAGTGCCTGTAGGGGAGCCAGACACTTCTGCAAGCACTTCCTCTCCTCCCTACAGAACTGATTGATCTTGGCAACTCAAGATGCTGATGGTTTCAGCTACAGCTAATAGTCGCTGAAATTATTTTCCTCCATGTTCTGTAAACTATGATATTTCTGCAAAAGGAGACTCCTTTATTTGAACAATTAGCAAACTGACATTTCCTAAGATCATCTAAATTAATAGAAATATTAGCATTTAGCACTCAAAATCCGCTGCACCCTGGAGACAGGATAAGGTGTAAGTCAGCTCTAATTAAAGTTGTTTTATACCAGGCAGTCCCTGCTGACCGCCACAATACTGTTTTCTATGTAATTGTTGGTCAATTTGTTGCAATATATCATCAGGATTACTGAATTATTAGTTATAATTACAACTTCAGAGTCAATAGCGGTGTCACAGCAAGGGTAAGTAAACACCAGAAAATTATGAGAGATGGAAATACCTTTCTAACAGCTACATCATATTAGTAGTACAGAGACCACCCACTGTAACAGCTAGGCACAATGATAAATTCCTACTTGGAGAAAGTGGACTTGGATGTTTTTGCCTTAATGTTCTGCATTCATCTCAGTGACATCCCCCATAAGCTCCACTTTGATTCTTGCCCACCAGCTGCGGAGCACGCATGTGAGGTAGTTTAAACTTGCTAAAACCCATACAATCTGCCAGACTAAATTTTACAGCTACCAGTGTCAAACCATCTGCACAGACCATCCCCAAGGATGCCTCTCCCAAAGGTCTGCAGGTCATTCTTCTATGGCTCTTTGGTCTCCCCAAGTCCCATTTTCACAGGTGGCCTGGAGGATTGGGAGCCCACAGCCTGTCAGACAGGTACCAGTTCTCCATTCTCCAAAGGCCACCTCTCCAAGCACTATATACTTTGATTCTTTGTATGGTTGGCTGGTTATGACCTCTTTGGAAATTTGTCCCTTGTGTATTTCTGAGAACGGCAACACAATGTCCTCTATGGAAGAAGTGAGATAGAAGTTTCTACTGCTTTTCGCAGAAGAACATAGTATTTGATGTTACTACTTCGACTCACATGAGAGATACTTTTCAAAACTATTCACCATTTCAAAGGATGCATTATTTTTGGGAAAAAGAAAAAGAGAAAAGAAAAAAAAGTATTTTTCTGTAAGTCAAGTCCAGGACTTCCAGGAAATCTAAAGAAAAATACTTTTGATAAGAAATATCAAGTTTTACTCTTACTTCAAGGTGTGTTGGGAAATGGACTGAGAGTTCAGTGTGTGGAAACATGACCTGTAAAGTTCAGCATATACTGCAAGAACCAAAACCTAATTAGGGCAGTTGGTCAGACTTTTAACTTATCTACCTAATCTCCAACCACAGCCTCAAAGGTTGAAAATGTGACTCCATCTTCTAAACCAAGAAACAAGTCATTAAAAATTCAGGCTGTACAACTAACATTGCACTCATTTAACAAAACAAGAGTTCAAAACATAAGAAGTTTAACTCCACATCAGAGACATTTCTGGAAACCGCAGACTTAACGAACTATCTTCCACTCCATTGGTTTCAAATGAAACAGGCACAGAGGCTTTCTTTGGCACAGCCTAACCCTGCTCAACCAGGTGTGGGTTTCAATTAAGTTGCCCTCGTGCAGGAATTTGAAGACAAACATTTGTAAACCTTTTTTTGGTTTGTTTGCTTGCTTGTGTTTAAAAAATGTACCCGCAGTGGTGGCCCTGCTGAAGGCAGCCCGGACAGCTGGAACGGCAACGCGGAGCCAACCAGCCGAGTCACAGCCCTGGCTCTGTGCGAGCTCGTGCTCTGCTCTCACAGCCTGACTCAGTGGAAAAAAACAAGTCTGTGGAAGCTCAGGCTACAGTGAGATGACAGGTGACTTCTGGGGAAAAAAAACCCTATAGCTGTAGCCCCACATCCATTTCTGGAAACCTGGCACAAGTCATTTGTGGGAGAGAAGGTATTGAGCTCTAGCTGGCTGGGTGATAGTGGAATAAGTCCATTCCAAAACTGTGCAGGTTTTCCAATTTTTTTTGTATGGTCTTGAAATGAAAACAAGAAATTTTAAAATGGAAGGGTGTGGAATTGTGTTGAAACATCTATTTCTGAGTTAGAGAGATCGAGTTTTCAGATCAGACATAACCAGAGACCTCAACCTGGGATACATAAAACTCCCCATTCATCAACACCAGCACCTCTGCAAAATGTTTTGGCATCCAAGAAGCAGCATATTTTAGTTAAATATATTTCATCAAATGTGTTCTGACGTATTCCAATCTTGAAATGTCATTGTGTCACCAGTTTGTGGAAAGATCAGTGTTTTTAAAAAACTCATAAAAATAAAGGACTGGAAAAGAAGCTGAGGAACAGTCAGTCACTTAAAGACATTTGTCAGCAAAATTAAATATAAGTTCAGGCATATTCTGTTTCATCACATACTGTTCCTTTTAGGAGTGAGGCACTTAAATAATTTCTCTATTTTGGAATGAGACTGCAAGACAAACAGTTTATCTTCAGTTTGGCAAAAGAAAGTTACATTAATGTCTATCAAGATAAAAGTGGTGCAAACCAGAATATTTTACAGCTTAAACAGTGACTCTGTTCTTCAGCTATGTGTAAACTATTCATCTTACAGGATGCAATCAAATGTCACTGTCTCAATATGAGTTCCCAGTTATGTGGAAAACACAAATCCCTGTAATTTATATACGCGCGCACACACACGCACATATAGTACCTATATATATACACACACACATAATATAATATTTTCATGTATACACATGGATGCAAACCACATCTGGACTACCATTAAAATATTTCTCCTACCTCCTCAATAACCACAGTTACAGTAATCCCTAGAAGGAACAGAGTAGGGCTAAGGTCAGCTGTCTCCGATCACCAGTGTTTGTACAAAGTGATTTTATGTTTCATTTGCACTAGAGATTGATATCAAGTCATAATTCTGGCTCAAAAGAATTTTTATGAAAGAAAAAAATGTTTGGAAGGTTGAAAGATTTTCCCAAAGGAAGGTTCAGGGAATAAATGAGAGCTTATTTATATTTTTCAACACTTTTGCAAACTGGAAAACAGGGATAAAATTCCCAATCTTGCTCCTCAAACCACTGCATTATCACAAGAGAGTCTGTATTTTATTTTTTTTTCTGCTGAAATTACAATATTCTTTTAAAAAAGGAGAGAAAATATAATGTGTAAAATTCAGTCTACTCTTCAGTGAAAATATTAGTCTTTTCATTTTAAGACTGTTACCATCTTTTCACCAAGATGATTCCAAACATGATGTACATTTTCCATCAAGTCTGAAAGAGTATTTAAGAAACACCCTCATTTCGATGAGAGTTCATAGTTTGGGTTTTTATTTATTTTTTTCCCCAAATGTTTTTATTGAAACAAATTTCAGCCTATTCTAGCTTGCATTTTGGATTCTCTCAAAATTCAAATTCAAAACTTCAAAGCAAGTCATCTCCGCAACCATTACTTTTGTAGGATTTTGATCAAAGCCATGGAAATTCCTGGTTCCACCCTGCAATAATGAATGGGCCCAGATTTCATTTGAAATCCAGCTCTGAGGAGCTGACTTACCCATCTGGTTTGCAAGAATCCTGCTGTCTTCACCTGACCCAAGAGCATCTCCACAGAGCAAAGCTCTCCTCCAACTGGAACGCATCCATGCAACACAGTCCCCATTCCCTCGATGTGGGGGGGCACCAACATTTGGCTGTCAACCTCCTGTTTACCAACCTTCTCCAAGTTCAGAAAGCTCCTTCTTTCTGCATCCTGAAGATCAAGGGGTTTTTCTTGGTTTTTTTTCTTTTAGCAATTCACTAGATAGCTGTTTGCCTAAAGAGACCCTCCCACTGCTCTTTTATCCTCTGAAGGCAGGCCAATTTTCAACTACAGCCTGGTGGTTGCCTGGGTTAACCTCTGCCTTGTTTCATGAGGCTTAGAAACCCCAATACACCTTTCAAACGGCGTGTCTGATCACACTGCTCTGGCAGATAAGCAGAAAATTAGAATGAGCTTCTCCAGGTAAGCCCCAGCATGAAGGTACCATCATCTTCCAGGAGGGGGGAATGCCTGGCAGGCAGGCATGCAGGCAGGCAGGTTTGGAGATCAGTTATGATGGGGACACAGAAAAGGCAGCTGTGTAACAGCACAGCAACAACACTCTTTCAGTGCCTCTGCCAGGCAAGGCTGTGGTGCTTTCTTCTTTGGGGAATTTGGGACGAATATTTTGAGAGCACTTTTAAATATTGTACATAAGAAATTTAGGTGGCTGTTGAAGATGAAATTATCCCTACCTTGCTCTATATAGCTTATATTCAAGTATTTTAGATTTGAAACTTCATGTTTCAGTTCAAGGCCTTTATTCTGTAAGTTTTCCTACTGTTTGTAGGATTTTTTCATCATGCTGATAGCCTCTTCCTCCTCTCTCACCGTGACCGGTGAGATTGCCACAGTCCTGTGCAATAACATGGCAAAAAACATGGGTTACTACAACTTGGTTTCTAGTTTCCATTCTTTATGTTTCTTCAGGTTCAAATTCAAACTTCAGTGCACAGAAAAATTTTGGTCTTGCAGTTGGTTCAGACTGTTTTCATGAACTAAATTGTCCTTTGAGTGAGGGGTGACATCCAGAAGAGCCTCTGAGTTTTCCAAACTGACTCTGGGGATCTAATTACTCCTCTGGATACCTGGCTTTCCTGAGGAAAAAGCTCTCTTTTTCAAATCAGGATGTGTTCAAAATAAGTACAATTGAATGAAAAAAAGAAAAAACCCAAACCCAAAAAATACAAAACAAAACAAAAAATCCTCCAACAACTTTCAGCTTGGCATTTCAAGTGATTTTTTTCAACTTCAAAAACACAGTTCAGAATTCTCCACCAAATCCCCACTATTTAGGTCTCTATTCTCTTGTGTGCCTTTCACAACATTCCCCAAAACCCTAACCAGACATGTAACCATCTCCAAATCCGCTGAGGCCAGTGGGATTTAGGCAGATCCATGCCCCTGCAGCATGCAGCAACTCAGCTGCTCAGATTCCTTCCACAGTGTGGCCTGCAAAAGAAATTGTTTCAAGGTGTACAAAGCATTTTCTGCCTGCTGCTGTTGGCCAGGGAAAACTGCCATGGAGCTGTTGCCAGGGGAAGGAAGAAATAAAATCCCCTCAGGAAAGGAAAGAACACACAGGTAGAGAAGGGGGAGTGGGGTGGGAGGCGTGGGGTCCCCCATGGGACCCAGCCCTCACTTGGAAATAAGATGAGCTTGCTCTTCCAAACACAGGGTTTGGCCAAGATCCTCCTGTGTGCACCTGAGCATCCCTGTATGTGGATGTCTGCCACACACTGAGGGCTCCTCCTTGCCCCTCTGAGCCTTGGGTGTGAGGCCTCCTTGTGAAAGTCTTTCAAAAGCGGTGACTCTTACCCTGCTTCCTGGCTAATTGTGGCCTAATGGCACATTAAGGTGGGCACCCACAACGCTCCACTGTCTGGGAACACAAGTGGCTGCATAGGAGCATAACCCTTCTGCAAACACTTGGGTGGCTTGGGAAGCCTTGCCTGGGTCTGCCCCTTGTTCCCAACCCAAAACACGCTGAAGTGCTTTCTCACCCACGCTGATTTGCTGATACCCATTTATGGTACAAGAAACTGGACTACAGACCATGAGGCAGCAATTTTAAAATCTTTAAACACCCTTCCTATCCCCATGCAGCCAAATCTGCTTGGAGTGTGATGAAACAGCTTTGAAAGGGAAGGAAGCCACACAGGGGCAGTGAGCCGAGAGATGGAGAGCAAAAGCCATGGGAAAGGTCTGGGGCCTGATAGTCCTTCCCTTGATCTCAAGTCTTAAATTTTCTGTTGTATCTATGGTTTCCCGAGAAGGTTTTTCTTCAGCTAATGCAGCAGGTATACCCATGCTCATTACCCATGCTCATATTATAGTAGCAGGAATCACATGAGAATCCATATTTCAGAGCTTTAAATGTTAATGCAAAAAAAAAAAGGCTCAAAAAAATTAGATACACAATCTCATTTATCTTCATTCATTTTGGGGTCATGCATATATGAAACTTCCTCTTCTGTAACTTCTTTCAGAGTCTCCCACAGAGCCCTCCTGCAGATAGTCCCAGCAGTAACAAAACAATGCTGACCTTGCTGAATGACAGCACCATTCTTGTCAGTCTGCTGAGTGGGTGCCTAAAACAGGCACTTTGCCTCTCAATAAATTATTTTCTCATCACTCTCTGAAAAAACATTGCACCTTCCAAAGAATGAGATTGAGTATCAAAAAGGGATATTCCCCAGCAGAAGATTTTACAGTTCACTTCAGTATACCATAGATTAAAAAATAAAGTTTTTCTTACCTGCCTTATTGACTGGAGTTTTTCAAACTCTTTCAATGGATTCTTTGCTCCAGAGTAAGTGTTAGTTCCAAACCACAGTTTTATGCAACAAAGCTCACTAAAAGACAGAAAAAATTACTTTAATTTTATAGCTGGTTTGCAACTAGGCATATTTTCCAACTAAATTCTCTTTGATCTGAAAATGCAATGCTTCATTTTGAAGCAAGTTCTACTACTACTATTACTCAAAAATTGTTGCCCAATGTCACACAGAGACTGTATTTTTCAAATATTAATTCACAGCTTTCATTTTAAGAACATGTTTATAGAGGTTGAAAGGAAGTTCAGATAAAGTTGTTGCATTGTGGCAATATATGAAATGAATTGTTTTAATAGGAAAGAAGTTTAGGATAATCTCTTGGCCTTATTTCCTTTACTGGTTAAACCCCTTTGGTCACGTCTGTGAGAGCAATGCTGGCCACTTTTGTTTATTTTTCTTTAACTGAAAATTTTTAACCTTAAAAGTAAAGGAGAAAAAGTTTGTCCAAGGGGCTTCATGCTATGCCAGCGTGAGTCCTTTTCCAGCTGCAGATGCCTCACTAAGTCAGTGAAGTGATGATTTTTGCCTTCCTATCTGAATTTCTGTGTTCCATTTGTTGTAGCACCCTCTGCAAAGGGAAGATTGGCATTGCCATGTGCCAAGTCCAGAGACACATGAAAGGAGGATCTAACTGTAGCCAACCAGAAAAATTGTAAAGCTGATGGAAACAGGACAGGCCTGACAATAAGAGAGACTCTTCAGAGGAGCTGTCAGGCAGAAAACTAGAAGTGAGGAGATTGTACAGCACCAGCAAAAGTATAACACTACTTTCTTAAACCATAGGATAAAGGTTAGGATTTTGGTGGTGAAGTCAGAGCAGAGGTCTGAAATCCAGAGGCTGCTGTCAACCAAGATTTCTGTGGTCTATGTCTTATGCAGATAAAAGGAGAGCTCCCATTCCTGGATGACTGCCAAATTTGTCCTTCTCCATTGGTTTCTTTTTTTCCCAGCAGAGAGGGCTAGACAGTTAGATATCTAGCTACTCATGATTTTTTTTTTCAAATACCAGAATGTTAAAAATGTGAGGTGGATAGCCAGACAATAAGTTTCTGCTGATCTGTTACCTAACAGACCAGAAACCAGGGACTGTTTCCAGTAACATCATCTAGGTTTTCTGGATTTTACCTTTCTCAGGACCAGGACAGAAAACTCCCTGTTTCCCGCACAAGTGCTCCTCATGGCTGAGGAGTCTGAGAGTGCAGTGCTGCATCTGAGGTCTGAGGTTGCTAAATCAGCAGTCTTGGAGCTCACCCAGGTGCCTGTATTGTGCAGACACGTCACCAACATTCCCTACATCCGCCTCTGGCAATGTGCACACTTGTCCTCCTGCTTGTCAGGCACAATGGGTCACCTCAGGTTTGTGGGAGATCCCTGCAGAGACTAAGGACTTCCACGAGGTACTTGGACCAGGTAGGCACAAAACCGTTTCTCAGAGACTGTTCCTGATCTCAGACACAGTAAAACATTATTAGCTCAGCTACAGGTAGCCAAACCTGACTGGAAGGCTTTCTGCCAGTTTGCCTGTGGCTGGCGGCCTCTGCCAGACCACTCACAATGACACTCTTCAACCACAAAACGTACAAGTCATAATGCACAATGCACTTGAGCATTAACAGAGGTGTTACAACATGGATTTACTTCTGCCCACCACACTCTCAAGGAACCCTTGCAGACGTCACTGGGCTCTGAAAGATTTCCAGTAATACCAAGGAACAAACAAAAAACCCCACAGCTTCATTTCCCAATATCAAAGGGAGAATTTGCTGATAGCACAGCGGCAAGCCACGCTGACTGTGAGCAAACAAGCTCAGTTCTACATTGCCTACGTCTAACTTTTGTTGAGGTACCTAACTTTGATCTTTGATAAATGAAAATGTTGGCAGGTATCTTCTTTTTATTCTGTTTCTGGAAATCCTGCACATTTGAAGATTTGGTGAGCAGGCCTGACTAACACGTTCATGAATGCTGACATTTAGTTCACAGTTACCACTGAAGTATGACCTGAGTTATTTTTCTCAAGACCACAATCACACCCAGTTCTGCAACTGAATTGATTTTAACATAAGTGAAAATATTTTTGTGTTTAGATATGACAGAGAATAGTATGCATACCTTTGTCCAGTAAAAGGACAGTTCATGTCTCCAAAGCTGAGAGCGAATGCTCTGTAGTGTCTATCTTCAAAGGACCTGAGTGTGAAAGCAGACACTTCAGTTGCTTTAGCCTATACCAAAAGGCAGCTGCCAGGGATGCACAGTGTCACTGCTGCACTGGTTCATTCATTACAACCTTTTCAGCTCACTTTCTGTAGAAACAAAGAGAAGCAGACGTGCCAGGGGACACTTTTGCAAGGGTACAACTTATACAACAACTTCCTCGTTTTAATTATCTAAGGGATAGGTGGGTGGAGCACCTTCATAATTTGCTTTTCTCTTTTATTACTGAAATAAAATATCTGAGGGTGCTGGGAGAGAGGTCGCTCTCATTGCATTCCTTTGCAGGCAGCATGGCTTTTTCAGGGACACCTGTCCACAGGAAACTCCGTAAACGCTTTCTAACAGGTCCCCAGGTAGTGGAGAGAGCACAGCTGCTAGAGAGAGTTAATGGCAGGACAGCTGCTTGGCTGACAGAATTGGAACCAGCTCGGTGCATGTGCTGGGACTGTAAACAGGAATGAATTTTCCTAAAAGCTTTATAAGTAAAAATGTTTATTTTTGGAATATTAGCAAAATAAAAGGAGTTACGATGTTCCTTTAAGTCAAAACATAATGACGTGCAGCTTTTAAGGAGGTTTATTTTATAGCAAAATCTCAAATTGAAACAAGGCGGCTTTGAAACAACTTCAGAAATACCGTAGATTTCTTCCTAGATGTATATATAAAACATGCTTGGGCATTTATTTTTTGTCCTTAATGTGTAGTGAAATTGGTCATGAAATTCTGCTTTCCACAAACCATACCTGAGGTATTGGGGAACACCCTTCTGTCTCCCAGGCCTGCCACTGATAGTGAAAACTCGGTGTGTGGTGTGAGAGGTACAACAAGGTATCTGGAACAGGTTATTCCCATGCTAAAAACATGAAATAGAGGTCTTGTTTCAAGGACTGGCACCAAGATGAAGACCCCTGACTCCCAGACTTCCCCCAGCCATAGCCTTTCTCTCTGAGTCAGAGCCATCCAGTGCCAAGAAAGTGCCCTCTTGTGACAACCCCAGTGCAGGCTCAGATATGGGATTTTGAACCCAGACAAACACCAGCTTCAAACTCCTTGCAAACAACCTAAATTCTTTTTGGAGTGTTAGTAAACAACACATTCTCTTTGGGAAGTTCACCTGAGGACAGCAGTACACAAACTGCTCGCTACTCACCCCACAGCACTTGCAGTGCAGCACACCAGCCTGGATGATGAGCAGTACTTGCCTAATCATCTTGAAACGCCATCCTTATCTTTTTAGGAACGACAGAGACATTCTAAAATCCATCTAGACTTTACCATGTTTCTCAAAGTCTCTCAAAGGCATTTTCTGCTGTAAATGCTTCACCAGCATGAAGACGATGAAAACACTGGCTCTACCACTTGTACATAGCTCTTCACAGTTTCTCCTCTTGAGTTTGAAGCTATGCTGGGTTTAAAGTTATTAATTGCCTTTTTCACAGCTGGCATCAGCAGCCTTGCATGTTGACTCAAAGTGTGATGGGATAATTAGGCAGGGTGAGGAATCTTTGTTAAATTTCATTCTTTGGTGCTATTTTGCCTTTGATCTTCACTGCTCTCTTTTCCAGAAGCGCTACAGCATTCCAACAGAAGCCAAGGGTGGGCCTTTCATCAGCCTGGGGGAAAAGCTTTGTCCTGTGCCCCACGGCACTCTGCTCTCAGTCTCCAACACCCCATTTGGATGACAGCTATGTGCATGCTGGAGCGCCTACAAGGTGCCTACAGCCAGAAAAGCATGTACGGTGCACCCTCCACCAAAATACAGATCACATCAACAAATTAAAAGAGAAGTAGGAACAAAGTTCAGTAATGAAATAAACAAGTAAGCAGGCTTTTAATAATGCTGGTTCTCCATTAACTTGATCAAAACTTTGTATTTTACTCTGCAGGTTAGAATGGCCCACGGCACAATGAATTTAAAATGCTGTAAAACCAATGCCTGCTCCTCTCTTGGACGCCAAAGCTGTCCATATTCCAGAGTCATGCAGGCAGTTAACTCCAGCATTCTCTTGATTTTAACTGATCAATTACAAGCCATTTAAGTGATGGTGTAAAAATAGTTACATAAACTCAGGAATAAGTCCTAGAGCTTTTCTGTAGTTATGAATGAATCACTTTCCCAAATGCTTGTTCTTGGGCTTTTGTCACTTTTCATTTCTTTGAGATCTGGCCTTTCTACTTGTCCTAGCCGATTCCTCTCCAGACCTGGGATGGCAAGAAATGCGGGGAGACAGCGGGCCCACCTGAATCTCATGAATCCCATCCCTGCCATATTGTTAACAACACTGGGCTTTTAGCAGCACATCAATGCAAGCCAAAGAGAACCATCTGCCCCAGGAGACATAACTGGTAGGTTATTTGCAATATGCATAGAACAAATAAATGAGATAATTCATTTTTTTCCACTCAGGAAGGATATGATTGCCTGTTACGCTGTGATGTGTGTTGAACTATGTCCCAGAGGTGTTTTGGTAGTAGAAATTAGGCAGGGGTAGGACACCTGCAATATGGTGTAACTATGCACTTGACAATGAAGGTAATGTCAAAGTGAATGTATGTAAAGAAATGAGCTACGTGGTGTGTCATGCATAATGAGTTACTCCTGGAAGATGCTATCCCCAGGCTGCTATTCTCACAGTCCCTTGGTCTTCCAAACTGGGGAGACTGAGTATGAACTGCCTGTTATTAGGTTTTGCTGGCACAGCTCTTGTAGTGGTGACAATCAACAGAGCTTGTGCTCATCATCTTCAATTTCTTCTGGGCAAATGTGTGAAAATTCCAGTAGGAGATTTCACGTGACTGCTGGGAGACTGACGCTGGTGCAGCAGCAGATATCTGCCTGCTCCATCTCTTATCTGATGGCTAGCATGTTGCTGCTCTTACCCCAGAGAGAGTTCAAAAGAGTAATTCCCTTTAGGGGTATGAGACCTCCTTTTCACACACAATGTGCTGAGCGACAGAGCTTTTTTGCCCTCTTATGCCAGTCTGCCTTCCCTCTCTTCCACATTGCACTCCTGGCTGCAGCTGCCCCTATCCAAAATTCAGGAGGTGGGATGCAAAGCAGCGACTCACAGGTTATTGTTAAACAGCCACAGCAACAGAAGTACAGAGGTGGAAAGAGGCAAAGAAAGCCCCTTTCTTCTCCTCAGACCCCAAGGATTATGCAGGATACACGATTTACAGGGCAGGTCTTTTTGCGGATTGGGTCAAAGAGGTAACCTGATGCCAAGCTGCAGCAAAGAGAACCCAGTGCTGGGTCACATTGGCACTGGGCTGTCCATGGGCTGTAACAAGTCAGTCCTGCCTGTTCTTCTGCAGCTTAAGTTTCTGCAGTAAGTTTTAAAGATTCTTTTTACAGAACATCCCCATGGGAGTGAGACAGGCAATGCACTGGACTAGGTAAGACCCAGCAGCACTCTAGGATGATCACTGTTTCCCAATGAAGTTAATTTAAATACATTTTCCTGAAGTGTGGCTCCATTTTAACTGAGACACCATACACCCCAGCTAACTGTGCATGTTCCTGGCTCACCACTGCAGAGGTTTTTATGACATCTGCAAACTACCTCTACTCCACAGGTGCCACCAATGTTAGGACTGATTTTCATGCCTTTAGTGAATGGCACTTAAACCATTCCTTTTCCTACTGGGGCTTTTGTCTTTGTGCTTTTAGTTTTCCAGGAGGGTCTCTTCAAGCTTCTGTCAAACTCCTGTTACAGCCTGCAGATAGAAGCAGACATAGAATAAAGGACTCAAATGCTCCATGTTCTAATTTAAGCACCTAATGTTCACTGAACTTTGAGTCCTATCCACAGGAAAGAGAGAAGACAATTTGCTGGTAGGAAAATGACCACCAGAGGCTTCACTGGGGCTGAGCCTCTCTGAGATTTTTTCTGTACTGGAAAAGGTATAAAAATGTATTTGAATCTGAGAGGAAAAAGAAGTAATCAGAATATCTTCTTAATTCTGACAACAGTGGATTCTGAAGCAGCTGGTAGATTTTTAGATTTCAATTAATCCAGCAAAAAGTGAGATCACATGGCAAAAATATGAAGCTGGCTCTACTCCATTGGAAAAATTAGATTTAAGGGATGGCAATTCTTGAACAGAGAATACAAATAGAAGGGGGGTGGGGGGGAAAGCCTGTCTGCAACTGAACCCAGTTTGTGGGTATCCTGTGGCAGAACACTAGAGGACACATAGACAAACCTTGAAAACTTGCTCAGATTTACCCAAATATGAGAATGCAGTGGGCCTATCTGAGAAAACGGAGAGATGGCAAAAGAGTGGGAGCAAAAGGCAGCAAGTCCGTAGAAGTTGGAACCCAGCAAGAGATGGTCCCTGTAACGTGAAACACGTTGCCAGCTAGTGCTTGCCATGACCCTGCCCAACAACTCGGGGCATATGCAGCACTTCCTATGACAGGATTTCCTTAAGCCGCACTTGGGTTAATTTCAGGACACAAGAATTATATCTGAGCATGCAAGGGCTTAGATTGCCTGGATCTACAGCAGGCACCAAGTTCAACATAAACAGCATTTTCTGACTATTGGAAAACCAGTGGAAGATCATGATTTGAAAAGAAAAGGTGTGCTAGATTGACAATAACAAGAGAGTGTCTGTGTAAAGATAGGGAGGATACTTCAGTTGAGTTCTACCTCTGACAGACAAAGGAGACATAAAACTATTGCTCAGAATATTGAAATATGTATTGGGAAGTTTGTTGCTTATTAGTTGCTCAGTTGTTGCTCATGGCTTGATGGAGCAGTGACAGTGTAAAAAGTTGAAGCACTGGAAGAATTAAAGAATTCCCAGAACTGCTTATATATCAGAAAGTATAACATTTAAATTGTTCAAAGAAGTTATTAGTTCAAGCTCTGTCAGCAAAATGTAGTCACAACTTACAATTGATGGCTTGAGACATCAGGAGCTCTAGGATGGAGAGAAGGTTGCTGCAATTTTAAGACACAAATGGAAAATATTTAATATTTTTACTGATAGGAGCCTTATGAACTTCAAATTGACTGTAAACTCTTTACTATCTTTGCCAGACACACATTTTGAAAAAAGCACAACTACATTTACTTTTTCCCAGCTACCAAACATATGATCTGCAAGGCAAATTTAAGTGAGGCCGACAGCGCAGGCATATGCATTTCAGCCTTCAAGGAAAATCTGGGGTAACAAACTAAATTTGCTGGGAGCCAATCTAAGTTTAAAAGCCTTGTCTAGATGAAATACGACCATGAAATGCGTTCTTGCTTGAACAACTGCTCAGGATGTGACCCCACGGAGAGAGTGTAACAGCCTGTGGGTTGTGTTACAGCTATAGGGTTGCTGGGGTTTTAAGGGTTTTACTCCATTGAAAAGAAATCATGGGACTGAGAACTGTGCTTTAAAGGCTTAAGCTACTCAGTCAGAGACCCCAGGTCTGGGTTGGGACTCTGAGACTGTCGTCAACATTAGGCAGAGCAAGCTGAAAATGCCTATGGGAGAAAGTTCTTTTATAAACGCCTTCAGAGCCTACAGCCTGAAAGCCAAAGTCCAGTATTGAGATGCTGCTGCTGCTGCTCAGGATCTCACCACTGACATACATCATGTCCTTGGGCAAGTGCCTCAGCCTTCAGCAGGCTGCATGTTCAACAGCTGGAAAACTGAAAATTCCTTGAGTTCCGCAGAGATGCCGCATGAAGCTACTGATAGCTGTCAATGGTTCTGATCTTTCTGAGTGTGAAGTCCACTTAATGCAGTGAGTGGCTGACCACAATAAGTTTTGGATCATGCTTTAAATAAAACCTATATTACTTCTGACTGAGTAGCGAAATTAAACTTCGTTAAGCAGTTAATGTGTCTGTATTCTAAACTGATAAACTTGTAAAGAAACCACATGAGAATTTCTTCACACAACCTCTCCAGTCAGAAAACACCAATTTGAAAAAAAAAATAAAAACAGTTATTGATTTGGTTTTTTGCTGGTGTTTTTTTTATTTTTTTCAGGAAACAGTCACTTTAGATAAATTTCACAATGTAGAGAATATTTTAAAAAATGCTTCCAGAGCAACAAAATATTTTGTTTAAAAAAATAAACTCATATGGTAATTTCAGTTAAAACTTATTGTTGTTTGGAAAATCTTCATATCTGCCTGGTAGTTATAGTAGCAAAGTAAGTCCACAGCCCAAGGGGAAAATTTCCAACTGATTATAATTGGGATGAAAGCCATGGTTACAAAACCAATTTGGGGAATAAGAAAGAAGTTTCTGGTCCAGTGCTAGCCATGGTAACACCAAGCAAGCTGCTGCACAAGCACAGAACCAACCCTTTTAAACACTTAATGCGCTATGGTCAGAAAGAGCAGGAATATTCATGCTGGGAAACTGAAGATATGTTGAACATCTATGAAATGACACAGATAAGTAATTGCTTATTCTCATAAAGTGAAAGAATCTACTAGTGAGGTAAGGAAAAAGGAGGAAAAGAGAAAATTTAGAAAATGTGAACCCATAACTGCTTTCTGAAATGATTCCTTTTTTTTTTAAGAGTTTGAATGGGACAAAGGAAGGAAAGTTACATACTGCTGCGGGTAACAAAGCCAGCAGGAAATATGGTTAGCAGTCAAAGGAACGTACACGATAACACCCAAGTTCACACGCAAGAACAAAATTTATCTCCTCTTCCCACCACTGTCAAAAACATATAGGGTCCAATAAAGAGTGTCTGCACTACCAAAGTGCTCATATAGGAAGGGTTTAGGGAAAGTATCAAAGCACACCAAAATCTGAAGGGGCAGAGGCAGACATGTACCATGATTCAAGAGAAGAAAGTTAACTTGAGATGAAAAAGAGAGATGTCAGTCAAACGCAGAGGGGTACAAGCCTCAGCATTCAAATGCACATTTCAGACACCTGCATTGATCTACAGACTCCACTCAGCAGCTATAAAGGCAGGGGCTGGGCTGCATGCATGGGGTCTGAGGGCAGCACACCTGTATCAAAGGCCAGTCTCTATCCCCAAGCCCTGGTTTCACCAGGAGGATGGTCTCCAGAGTTGCCTTTCTCAGGTACTTCTGTGCTTCAAAATTGTGGTGTGCATTTAGTGAGTATTGACTTTAGATGAGCTGCATGCTCTCAATATATGGAAAATACAATGTAGATGCAGATTCCAAAGAGCCTTAAAGTTTAAAAGTACTTGGGGCAGGGATCTGTTTTAGAGCCATGTATATTAAATTGAGATGAACCATAGCTTGCAAATGAGTGGCCTACTTGAGTCTTCATTCAGGTCATAGATTTTATGAAAATCCCATTACTCTTAAAAAAAATCTAATCATATTTCTATTGTGTCAGTTACTGCAGTTTTGGAATTAGGCTTCAACCCCTTTCTCTTTTAAAATTATCTTTGCACTCCCTGACTTTAACTGGATGAAGAAATGCTGGAATAGAATGAAAAATTACTTCTTTTGAAATGTTTCCAACCCAGCTAAAAGCTGTCTGTATGAGAAATCTTTCAAGAAAATCTGTCCTCATCTTATTTCCAGCTGGGTTTCATCCAGTTCCAAAAGTACTGCAGATGGTGGGAGAAAAGTATCTGGATATGGACAGTTATGTTATTTGAGACTCTGAATTTTGGATTGTGAATACAAACAACTCTAGAAACACCAGAGAGATGTGTTAAGGACACAGAAGGGAGAGGTGAATTGAGACAGCTTCCTCTCCTGAGGAAGGGCCACCCAGCCTCTCTAGTCCTGCTGTTACTGCTCTGTGAAAAATCAGGCATCATCACAGACGCTTTTCCTTCACTTCCCAGCCTTGTTTTTCCCTCACTTCTGTTCTTAAAGGCAGCAGCTCATAATCCCCTACCAGCATTCCTTCACATTTCATACACCTTTCTCTTTTCTTCATGTTTTGAAAGTGAAATCTGTAATTCTCAGCACAGAGCTACTCTATGTCCTTCAAAACGCCTCCTAAATCTCTCCTCTGCCATCATACATAGGAAAAGCTGGGAAGAGGCTCCCAGGGTGCTGCTCCACAGCCCAACATACAGCAACCATCAGTGTAGATGTACTATTTCCTCATGTTCCCTCACCTCTTGGTAAGCACTTACTTGGCAAGCCTGAAGGAGGCTCTGTTTTCTTTCTCTGTTTATACAACACTGAGGTTCTTATCTGTGGCTAAGTCTCCTTGATCCTATCAACACACAAATAACAACAGGGAATGGTTTAAAACAAAAAAGCCAAGCAAAAATATAAAGCTTAGTTGTTTGAATTGCTTTCACACACAGTGCTGAAAAATCATTATTTGATACTACCAGAAGCAGCACAATCTTGTTATTATTATTTTTTTACATTGCTGTGTTGTTCCAGGGTTTTTTTCAGCAATCACTGTCAGTTCTAATTCTCCAAACAGGCAAAAATTTGGGTGGAAATCCTGTCTCCACTGAAGTCAAGTGACGGATTTCCATTGGCCTCAATGGGCCTGGAATTCACCCGGTCACAACCTAGAAAAAGAATATTTGTAGTAGCAAACCAAATAAATATATCCGTGTTTTTCTGTGAAAAATCAATTTGAGACCCCTTTTTCCTGGCAAGAGTTATGCATAGCGATATAATATGAGATACAGCAGTACTTGGAACAGGAAACGACTGTGGACACATTGTCAGGGCAGTGCTGTGCTATGCCAATGGCTGAAGCAGAGAAAACTCCTAAGAATTCGTTAAAATACTCCAGGAAATAAAACAAAATAAAAAACAAACCCAGAAATAAAATAGAGTGCACAATGAAAATACCAGAGTTGAAATTTCTGTGAGTTTGAGAGGAAACAAAGAGATGGGAAATTATGGGGGCTGCCAGTGAGGTGCCAGCTGCTGCCCTTTGCAAGGGAAGCAAAGCATCCCAACAGAGGTTGTCAAGGACTAAGAGTAACAACACAGCAGAGTACCTGAGGGAAAAACAACCCCACAAAACCTCTTAATATAGAAATTGGGTTCAGGATGTAACAGCTTTATTAGACATCCAAAGAGCGATTTTCCTATTCTACAGAATTAATAACAACTGAAGCATATGTGTGTGTACTCAACAGATCACATGAAACAGAAAAGGAATATTTCATGGATTATTAATTATGTGTTTGTTGTGTAAACGTGAGAAACTAACCCTTAAAGGTAAGAGGCCTATGCCAGAAGTATGAAAAGCAGAACATCACTGTGAATCAAAGGACATAAAAGATGCTCTCTACATCAGATATCAATGACATTTTCAGGTATTTAAAAACCTTGCTTGAAGAAACAACTATTCATTACTTTAAGTCAGACCATTATGCAGCAGTGGGTAGTTAGTTGGTGAAGTGAGGAATGGCCCAGAAACATGAAATGTCTGTGTACAAAACCAGTGATTTTGTGCCTGAATGTGACTAGAGGCACTCTGCTTGTATGCATGTGACAGACACATCAGTTCAGGATTTTGGGGAAAGGTACCGACCACTTCCTTTCCCACTCACTTGTAATTAAACCAAAACATTTCTCTCACTCTTTTCCTCTTTGTTTATTTGCTTGCTGGTTTTAATCAGAAGATTAATATACTTTTCCCACTGAAAATGATTACTTTTTGCAGTAGTTCTAACACTACACAGACAAAAATATTTCAGGTGGAAAATTTTGTAATTGCGTGTGAGAGAATAGCTACTGTAACACCAGCTTCCAACGGAAATGTTGAATTCCCATGACAATTTAAAGTAATTATTGGAGCATGAGACACATTCTTGTAACATGAGCTACACCAATGCATAGTTTATATCATATAATAGGGTATATATTTGTACAGCATAAGAACATCATCAGAATCAAGTGTTCAATCAAAAGTGTAACTGGCAAGGTTCCAAATTGCATTCAAACTGATGATCATTTATGTCATATCAGTCACATTCAGTTTGTAATATTCTCATTCACTGCAGTGCATGTTG